AGCCGGTCGGGTTTTGGCACCAGGTGTGGACACTATTGTCTATAACTATATGGACAATCGACGCGATCTAGGTGCACTCGTACGTCCGTGGCAACTGGGCAAAGCAAGCGTCGTCGACGTTCATGCTCATGGCCAAGAGCTGCCATGACATTGATTACCTGCAGTTTCTCATGCAAAAGGACGTGCGCGCCGTAAGCTCGTTTGGCTCGCTCTACCATTTTCGACCGGTTGGTCGATATTCTATTGGTGTACAATATTGTCTTATGGCATGGGTCTAGGAAAACAAACCGCCGGGTGCGACCGACCGGTGTCTGGACTGCCCAGTGGAAGCGAGCTGTGTCTACTCGGCCAAGAAGATGTACCTCGACGGACCATCGCATGTCGCTGTGAACCCCGTTGAGATTGAGCATTGCGATGGTTCACGGTCGCGAACTGTCCCAAGCTCTGGCGCGTGGTACGCTGGCCAGCGATCCGCCACTGTGGGCCACAGCACCTGGCCGCTCACAGTCCTCCATGGTACAATCAAGAGCTCATTTGGTATCAAAAGTACATCACATCGGACGCATCTAGAGCAACCGACGGTGGCCAACATCACGCATGAGCTAGAGATCGGGCGCTTTGGCCGCTGCGTCTACGCCGGTGACAACGACGTCGTCGACAACCAAGTCGTCAACTTTCAGTTTGTCGATGGCGCAACCGCGTCCTTTAGCATGGTGGCGTTCACCGAGGCGATGGTAGGACGAAACGTTCTGAAGTGTCTACGAAACCAAAGACAATCTCTCCATCTTTGTCTATTAATAGTGTGTCCGCACCACGCGCGTCTTTGGCACCCACGGCGAGCTCACGGGCAACGGGTCGACGATCCGCCAATTCGATTTTCTCACCCGCAAGATCACCGAGATTACGCCGGCGAGCGGCCCGTCGACATCGCGTCTCTCGGGCCACGGCGGCGCTGACTTTTTTATGATTGCGAATTTTGTGCAAGGCGTGCGCACGAACGACGCGAGCGTCCTACTGACGGGCGCCGACGAGAGCTTGGCGTCGCATCTCATGGTCTTTGCTGCCGAAGAAGCGCGCTTGACGGATTCGGTCGTGCACATGGCTAGTTCGTAGGCAGAACCAATATATTGTCTCGAGGACTATCTTTTGTCTCTGGTGATATTGCATTCCACGAGGTTGGTGTTGTGCATCGAAGGGCTCTATCGAGTGCAGCGCATGCGTGTGGTTGGCTTAAATGTTTTTTAAACAGGATTAAACCTAATGTCATTTTTGTCCAGACTCCCGATGCATTGAAACGTGTTGATTCTAGTCACCACCAGACAGCGTTGTGGCACGCCTCAGTGTTCCCGTGTTGAGCCGAGTCACTGCTACTCGTTCTTGCAATGATGATCTGGACGATCGGTCGCGTGTGGTGTGTTGGTGTACAGGATCTTCTTGGTAGATTTGTGGCGTCTAGCCGCAGTCCGATCCAGACATGTGGTTGTACGACGTTGTAGCGAAACGAAGAGTTCCGTCCTTTTTCATAATTGTTTGAAAACTCTCGATCCCAATCCACTTTTACCCGATACAAAACGAAACCGAACACGATCTGGATTCGCATGGAATCTACATTTTCCGAATACTAGATCCATAGCAAAGCCATTCGTGAATCCGGTTTGAGGCAATGGCAACCTAGTCGCGGTCGTCCATATCGCGGCCATCCGCGTCGTCGTGCGCGACCGGTAGATGATTGCAACGAGCGGCAAGAACTTGCGCTTAGTAGGCTGGACGACGGTGCTCTAGACGCTGGCTCCGCGCGCGCCGGCGTCGACCAACTGCGCTCCAAGTGGACGCTCGACTAGACCGACTACGACTACCTCTTGAGCTTGGAGCACTCTAAGTCGGGTCTCACCGATCATCGGTGAGACCTGACTTAAATGTGCACCTTTGCGCAAAGGCGCACAACGACGAGGATCGAAGCGGTGCTCACTGTTCATTGCGCTGAGCGAAATGCGCGCCGCAAAGGGCGGTCTTCGCACCGCCAGCTCGGCAGATGAAGACGACGAGGAAACCGACCTTGGCGCCGACCTTCAAGGGATTCAGCATGAGGTGGCATCGAAGGATGGTGCCGAGGATCCTGCAAAAGCGTCCGTTGAGACTGCATTGCCATGGAGGAAGCGCAAGCGTACAGAAGATGACCACGATATGCGCTTCGTCTTTTTGAAAGCACGGTCAGCGCCTTGCACGGCGTCGAAAGGTCGCTTCGGCGACGCGTGACGGTGTACATCGAGAGGAATCCGCTGCCGGGAGCCACCGCGAGCGAGGACGTCCACGTGTAGACGTAGTTCGTTGACGGTATTAGACTGCTGTGCTCCCAGCGTAAAACATAGCCTCGTCGTGTCTACATCTCGTCTAATTGCAGCGGGACAGTGGTAGTACCTGCACTAACTTCAATGCCCGAACCGTGATCAAACTTCTTTCTGCTCCACGTCATTTCGCATCATCGCCTTCGGCGAGCGTGTATGACGGGTTGTACTGCGGTACTCTGCGATGGGCCCAATATGTCTCTAGTCACACCTCAACAGCTTTATCGCCACGCCTTTCGAAACCCAAGATGGAGGTGTTCATGGCTGCCGAAGTTGCTCTTGGGTTCAAGTCCCATCCGGACCATCTGATTCTTAACCGGATGCCAATCTTGAGCTCGTCACGTCAGTTGGAAATTGACGACGAGCACAAGCAGCGACAAGATCATGGTCGAAGGAGCCGCCGTCCGCGCCATCATCATTGGCGCTGGCCAGCGTGGCCGCGCCTACGCAGAGTACGCCCTCGAGCGCCCCGACCTCTTTCAAGGTACAACGCCGCATGCAAGCACCGTCGCTGACGCTGCCTAGTGGTTGGCGTCGCCGAGCCCGTGGCGTACTGGCGGGACCACACTGCCTCGACGTACGTTGGCGTTGGCATCCATACGCCGTAGCCTTATATCGACATGCGATGTGACTAGCTATG